AAGTCAACATGGAGCACTACAAAGGAGTTCCCAACACTTTTCATGAGAAATGTACCCTGCTCTAAAGCATTCATCCTTTCTGTTAGCTACCAAGCGTGTTTCTGATGAAGCTCAAAGTTCAAACTTAAAATTTACCACCTCACTATCTACAATTATCAACAATTAAGCAAACCATGAAAAACAAAATCACGTTGCAACTGGACAGATTAACTGTTTATTTCAGTGACAAACATTTCATTTGTTTGAATATTCTTTATATAGTACATTTCTGAAGTTTTAACTTCACTGCTACTTATAACTATAAAGTGATATTCCATTTTTTTTTTAATTCTCCATGTCTCTAATTTCAACAATACTACTACTCCCCTTCCCATTCCTCTCAACAAAAAAAGATTATCTACAGAATGTTCTGCTAAGCACCACATCTCAAAATACCCATAAGGAGACTTGCCTGCTTCATGTTTTCTTTTACTAAAGGGAGAGTGAGGGTAGTCTATGAAAGTAAGTCAGACAGAACTTCACTTAGATGGACAATTTTTATTCCAATTATCACTAGTAACAGTATGAAATTCAATTCAGTTGGTTTTAATAATGAAATAGACATTTTTCTACATAACCCTGGAAAAGGAAGGAATCAGATATCGAAACAGAAAATTCCTGAATGCCTGACAAGTAAACATTTTTAAATGTTTTTTTTTGTTTTTTTTTTTTTTAACTGACTTCCTTATTTCAGAAACTTAGCTTTTCCTGAAATCTAATTTAAATTACTGTTCTTGCCTCTGGGAAAATTCGAAAGGCCTACGTCTCCACAAGGACTCTAAGATACTAGCTACACTAAACTTTCTAGAGCAGTTTCTTTTCCCCTCAAGGACTTCAGACTTGAATAGCCTCAGCATTCCTTTAATCCTATAGAATAGTCTTCTGCAAGTTTTTCAAGTTAATGTTGCAATCACTTAGGGCCTTGTCCTTGTCCATGGCCTCCATAACAAAGACTAGGCCAAAGTAATGAATATTAGGTGCAAATTAACCAAATTTTTGAACCGGTATTCTCAAATAAACCTACTTTTTAAATCCACAGACGTTTCGTTTAACTGTAAAATTAATGTAGCAGAGCCTTCCTTTAGGCGCCCTCCCAAAAGCGTCTACTCTGGCAAGAATTTCAGCAGATACTAAATAGTAGGATTTTGTAAATAACATTTCAAGCTATGTCTAATATTTGTTAGAATAAAGACAAGTTAACGTGAAGATACTGAACGTAATACACGTTCACGGAGGGACAATGAAACGTCTCCCAAAATTCCAGACAAAATTCTTTATAACTTAGCGATCTTGAAAAACATTAGCCTAGACTTTTATCAAAGGCGAGCCGGCTCTTCAAGTACATGTCTAGTCTAAGCCACCACTACCCACTACACAAAGCTCCCATTTCACTGACACCGCTCCTTGATTTCCTTTTGCCGACCTCTGCATACCAGCAGGCCAGTTTCTCTTCATTCAACCACTCACAACCTCGGGGGGAGGGGAGGAGAGCGAAGACCACAGATGTCTGGAAGATACAAAGTACGAGACAATGCTCTCTCCAAAGGGAACAGAGAACCAAGGAGACAACTGCACCCAACTGCCGACGCTTTCAAGATTAGCGGATTCAGAAGCGGGCTGCGAGAACTGAACTTCGAAAGTCTCTGTTCAAAGTCCACTCCCCAGACAAAACAGTGAAAGAAGTTGCAATGCTTACATTTCATCTGGCCAGTTTCGCGGGGAAGGCAAGAGTCCCCTCCGCCGAAAAGAAAACGGGCTTTCAAAAACCAAGTTGCGCTTCCATAAAACTATTTGGAAAAAATATACCTACGAACAAAATCCTCGAAGCAATCAGAGGCTGAACTCCGCGGTTCGCTCGATAAGCAACAGCCAGCCCGGTCGCCCTCGCCCCCTCTGGTCGCTCCCAGGGTCTCACACCCACCGCCTGCAGCCCGGGGGACTCCCCGCACACTGCACACTGGCTTCACTCACCTGCACGCTGCAAGAAAATACAAGTGCAAGACCTGGATTTCTGCGTGCAACACCTACTGACGCATCGCACCGCCTGCACGAACAGTTTGATTCCTCTAAGATTTAAAGTTGTCTGGATTTAAACAAGCACCAGCGCCCCATTCACATAGGCAGACGTTAAAAAAAAAAATGACCAACAATTCTCCTAATTCGTCTTCAAGAACGAGACGGGGAATATGGAGAGAGAAGTCCACCGGCCCTATCACTACAGCAGATGGGACCTCGGGTGGCGTCCCAGGCTCCGCACTTGTACCCCAACTCCCCGCTGGGAAGGCGGAGCCCCCCGTCCCCACCCCGCCCCCCACCCCGGGCCCGGCGCATCCCGAGGCGCAGGGTTCCTCCCCAAACTCGGCCGCGGCCCGAGCCCCGGACGGAAACCACAGCCCTCCCACCCCCCACCCGGCCGGCTCTTCGAGCTCCCGGACGCCCCCTCCCCGCAAGCGGGGCCCGCCGCCCGCAGGCTGGATCCCCGGGGCCCCAAGGGGCACCGCGGCCGGAACCCGGGCCCGGCCGCCGCCCTCCGCCCCCCGGGCGCGGCCCACCCCCGCCGCCTCCCCGGCGTCCTCAGCCGGCGCCCCCCGCTCCCTGACCCGGGCCTCCAGGATGTGCCGGGCCCGGTTCCCACACGCCGCCGGGACCGCGCGTCCGCGACGAAGTTTGGCTCCGAAGCCCGAGCGGGAGCAGCCCCGGAAGGGTAAGGAAAGCAGCGCCCAGCACCTCAGGGGAACAGGCTCCTCCCGCCGCGGGAGTCCGACCGTCCTCGCCCTGCGGTGGCGGCTCGGCGGGGACTGGAGCTGCTCTCCGGACCTTCCTCCGTCTCCGCCTCCCCTCACTCTCCGCTCCCGGGGCCGGGATAACGCGGCTGCCACAGACCGAGAGGCTTAAAATGGCGCCGCACAAGGAGCTCTTATAAGTCGCGTAGAAACCGCTGTATCCTGCCGCCGCCGGCGCAGCGCGGAGCGTTCCGCCGCGCGAGGACAGGGGGCGGGGCGCGGGCGGGCAGCGGCAAGTAGTCCCCGCGCCGGCGAGTCGCCCGTTCTTGTCCGACCGCCGCGGGCCGGGGCGGGGCGCGCTCGCGCTCCCCTGACGCTCCTCCGGGCACAGGCCCGCGGCCGGCCGCCCGCCCGCGCTGGGCCGGGGGCGCCCTCAGAGGGCGCCGGGGTCCCGAGCGGGGAGGCCGGGGCCCCCCCGCAGGCTTCGGGGGCGGGGGCGGGGGGAGAGGGCGGCACCTGGACGCTCCCCCGTCCCGAACCGGACGCCCCCGCCCCGCGCGTGCCCCGAGCCGTGAGAGGGACCCGGGCTGGCCGCGCGCTTTGTGCCGCCGCGGGAGGCGGCCCCGCGGCCCCCGGCCCCGGCCCGCGCGGGACGGGTGGCCCCGGTCCTGCGAGGGCGGAAGTTCGGGGCGCGAGCGACGAGGTCGGGGCCGCCTCGCTCCGGGCGTTGCCGGCCGCCGCCCCGCAGAGGGTCGGGGGGCTCCTGCCGCCGCCGCGGTCTGGGCCACACGCTCCCGGCGGCGCCGGCCGCGAGCCTCCCCGCGCGCCGCCCCGGAGCCCCCCACTGTCGGGGCGTGGGGCTCGCGTCTCCCCCGGCTCTGGAAGTGAACTACCTGGCGAAGGCGCCTGCTCGCCTCGCTCCCGAGGGCTGTGAGCTCGCGATTCAACAAGTCCTCCCGAGTACCTGCAGGGATCCCGCGGCTCAGGGGAGAGAAGTAGCTCAGAGCTCTGTCCACTGGGTTATTTCTTGGGTTGTTTTTATCGGATTCCACCCTGCTACTTAATTTGCAATAGATTTATTTGTGGGAATTTAATGTCTTTGGAGGAGGTGCATTTCTGACATGGCTTGCGAAACCCACCTATGTTTATAGAAGTAACTGTCCACTAGGTAGGTTCTAATTTTTTTTTTAAAAAAAAATTCTTCAAAAATATTTTCTAATTCGTTTTAATAGGATCTGCATTTCCCTTGAAAATGTCTCCATTGTAATCCAGCAAGACTGGTGTTTGTCAAAGTTGAAACAATTATGATGGACTCACTTTCTCTAGTCTATTGTTTTATGCCTATTTTTCCTTCAAAACAATGGAGAGAGTACAAAAAGCAGCAGGGAAAGTTATTTTAGGGCTTTTATCCCAGGACTATAATTAATGCATGCAAACAATAGGTCTTTATACATAGGTACAGGCAGGAAACCTACTTACTCATTCACTGATGGAATAGGATATGTAGTTTTAGACATAGCTAATGCATTAAGGTCAAGGTATTCTTTAATTCTATTTTTCCCATCTTAAAGATATTTTACTAAATACGGCGGTAATGTCCGCTATGTAGCGCATGTGGGTCCCTGCAGTGGAAAAACTACACACACTAAAATGATGGTCAGTGAGATCCATTGTCTAGAATGACTTTCTCATTTGTAGCTTTGCTAATAATTCCATAGAATTAAATATCGTTGATGGCTATGGTTTAACTCGGCTGGATATAGTTCAAACATCGAGCAGAAAAAGATATTTTATCGAAGCATTTTTTCTAACTCAAAAGTATAAATGGCATTTCCAGATACTGGTCTCCAATTTTAATTATATACAGAGTTAAAGAATGTATGCTGGATTTGATTAAAGTCGTACATTTAAAATCAAGTGACTGATTAATCACTATTAGAGCATATTTTGGTTATGAGTATTTCCTTTTTCTATGTTTAGGTGTTTTCTAAATGTCTTTTGTGTTGATTTTGAATAAAGCATATTGTTAAAATCCATTAAGAAATACTTGTACTGTTAGAACATCTACAAGATAAAAGCACTTCTACATTTGTATATTCTATTTAGCTACCAAAATAATGGAAGCATATTGCTATAATTTAGGCATCTTAATCTAAATTCAAAATTTAAATTTTAAAATCCCTAATAATAATTTTAGCAAACATACCTTATTTCAGGGAAATGTAAAATGTGCAACAAAGCAGTAAGCTGTTTTTCCAGTCAAATTCAAGTGTACTGAGGAATTACTGGATGACTAACTTTAAAACATTAGTTGAATTTTGCAAATTGCTCAGAATTTTTATTCTCTCACAATATTCAAATTGTTCCAGTTCAATCAAAAATGAGGTGAATAACTTCTGTGAAATAAACACAAATACTATGATTAAACCAACAAGACATGCGGCTGCCAAAATACCTGGTAAGTTGGTGAAATAAGTGATTTTGAAAAATTATCTTTAAAAATTGATCTTTGACAATAGGTTATATAAACAAAAACATCTTACACATTTTCCTTCCAGAGCCAGACATTTGGGTTTAATATAAATTAATCCATTTTGTGAAACTGCAAGATAAATGGTTTTCTATTTCAGACTGTTAGTAGAAACCAAGTGTTTGCAGCTCTAGCTGATTTAACACAGGAGGTATTAATTGTGATATCAAACCATTGGTATATCAAGCAGTGGCTACATGGAGCCAGAACATAAAGTGTCCCTACGTTAAAACACATGCTTTGGAATCACCTTTAGGCACAGAAAGAAATGCCCAGATTTTTGTTTGCACTTCCAACCGAAACATTAATCAAGCCAGCACTTGTAAAGAAGGACCGTTCACTTTTTGGATAGTTAACACTATCAAATCCATTAATTAAACATTTAGTGAGCACCTAAGACAATGGGCTTTCTTTACATAGAGGGAAGTGGATGACTGGCTCTTTTTGATAAGGTCCCTTAATGTATAATTGTTATTATTAACCAACCCTACTTGAAAATAAACAGAATGGTAGAAAACAACAGCTGTGAAACCAGGGTGTGGTCTCCTCTGGATTCTACACCCAAATCTCCTTGGGAAGAACTCTCTCCCAGCGGAAAGGTAAGAACTAAATAATACCATCCATTTATAAACAATCCCAACTCTCTAAGAAGTTCTGTTAAAAACATTTCTTTTTGACAACCTGAAAACTGGACAATAATCAGGATCAGCCTTTCATTTAGCAGTTCATCAAGTGAGCTATTTATAGATTGGGACTTTTGATTTGCAATACTTCATCTCAGGGTTCAATGTTATCTTTTGATTTCTTTCCAGCTGAACAGGCTAAGTAGTTGTAAATACCTCTTGTCAGACTACATGGTTGGCTATTCTCGCACACAGAAGTAATCTAGGAACCCACTGGGCAAATTCGTCCGAGAGCCACGGTGGAAAGCTTGCATCTGGTGTGCGCTGCAGAGCAAGGGAGGGGCAGCGAAGATGGTGAGAGGGGAAGGCCATGGTGCTGGCGGTGTCAGCAGCCATGGTAGTTACGTTCATGGCTGCTTCAGTTATGCCCAGGAACACCCTTCAGACTTGGAGTTATGTATTCTCAAGGCCTTCACTGGTTTGACACTACACTTCACTGGTTTGCCATACTATGGAAGTATACTTTAACCGCTACCATGGAAAATGTGAAGGAGAAGCAATGGAGACATCATCCATGATACTCAAAGAGCACAAAGGTATATGTTTCTCAGTGTTTCTAAGAACTAAGACAATTACTACCGAATTGCTGAGAAAGCATGCTTTGGACCCAACACACACACACACACACACGCACGCACACACACACACGCGCGCGCACACACACATACACACACGCTATTAAAATTTTCAAAATGGTTGCAGATACTTCATTCACAAGAAGGTTAAAGGCGTTTCCCATCGCAAGGAGGATTAACTTACCGGAGGATTCTGGGACTGCAGATGTATACTGCGGTAAAATCCTAAATTCATCGAAAAAAATCATTTCTGGACTCCAGCTGCTAAAAATAATAGAATTATAGTAAATCATGGATAAGATTAAAACACTCTATTTTCACATTCCAAAGTGTGCAGGAAAAAATGATTCTTTTTACTCATTTTTTAAACAATGCAAATTTTAAAAGTAGCTTTCCTTTCCACAGCACGCAGCGCCATGAAATCGATAATTTTTGATCTTTCGGTTAGTAGGCAACATGGTGAGCTATTGCAGGGACTGCAGGCAGCAGACATGTTCTTGTCAGCTAAAAATTTTCATATTGTTTTTGAATCCATTGAGATTTGTAGATGTGATATCACCGGTTTTTTGTTTGAGCTTGCATTAGGCTAGAGGGACGCAAACCCTTAGTTTATCGACATATCCATGTCTATTGCTTTATATATATTAAAAACAGGGAGTCTTACTGGATCTTAAACAAAAAATTATGTAAAAGGAGTGGCTGGTGTGATTATAATCCCATCATGCAGGGTCCACGGTTCCCATTTAGTGAAATTTCGCAGAGGGCAACTTCTTAAGAACATCCCTGCTGTGCAGAGTGAAAAGCATGAACAAACCAAAGACAGAATTCATCTGTGTTTATATTTTACAAACAATGAAAAACCTACTCTTTGTATGCCTTTTTTCCCCCACCTTATTATTTCATGAAAACTGCAGCATTTTCCCCGCCCCCATCTAAACACTCACCACCCAGCACTGCAGTATTCCGTCCCTTTTTTGCTTCTCCTTCGTCTTCCTTTTCGCTTTCACAAATTCTGCACGCGCCATCTTTGTGTGGGGTGATTCTTTGCTAATTTCAGTTACCCATTCTCTTACAAATCGGTTCAGAAATAGAAAATTATAGTGTGCTTTAGGGCTTAATTTGCCTAAATTTCTTTCAGTCTTCTGTTCTGACAGAAAAATGGAATCGACAGGGAAGGAGGGAGCCAAAAAAAAAAAAAAAAGATATTTCTATTATTGCCATAACCTGTTGTATACAGTGGTGATAAAAAATATTATTAACATAATAGCAACAGCTGCAGCCTAAATAGAAGCTATGAGATAATTAATGTGCTACAACAAATTAATTTGCTGCAGGTGCCTCAGCTGTGAACCGAGTAACCCATGCCATATAAAGTCTAAATACAATTATGATTCCCCCCACACGCTAAAACAAAATACAGAGCAAAATGTCTTGTTCAGTAAATATTATGCTTGCCTATTGTTAAAAAACAAATCCTCCTCCGTCTCTTTTCCCCCATCTTCTACCAACCTATCTCAAATGGTTAAATCATCAGTAGGTAAGTGTGGAGTTGGGGAGTATGTGTGAATGTGTAGGTCTGGAGGTGGAGGGTATGACATTTTTGAACATAGAAGTTCCATGCTAATGCTTAGTTGGAAAACGTATGAACCAGCAATAATTTCTTTTTTAAAAATTAGGGCTTATAATATTTACAAGATCTATTGTTTTAAAAACAAAAATTTATGTTTTCATGTGTATGGCTAGATAGAAAATAACAGTGTTGAGCAGTAGCCCATCTGCATTAATTAAAAAAAAATCTAACAAAAGCGGGAAATGTGTGTCTAGTGTGCACTCTTCACTGATGTGAAAGAGATTTTTTTTTTTACTCTCACTTGCTGTCAACTTGAGTGTTTACGGAGAATGGTCACAGGTTATATCACAAGTGTGTGCCAGAAATATACTGCACCAGGGCAGCATGGACAGGGGCCTGGAGAAGGTCATAGTGCCAGAAGCAAATGTCCATGTTCTACTTTGCACCATTCAGCAAAAAATAACTTTGGACCTAGAAAAGTAGAGAAATATACAGATTGATTTTTTTTAAAGCGACTTGACTAAAAGAATCTTCACAGAGTAAGAATATAGTCATTTCTGATTTTTCTCCCAGTCATGTCATGGAAATGTTTTTGCTGAAGGTTTAATTTGTGGTTTATTAAAAAGTCAAAAACTGTAAATTTTATTATGTTTTAAATTGATGTCATTGGTTACTGAAATTTGCTTGATTAGAGTGTCTTAAATTGTAAAAATATTAGGACTAATTAGTTTCTTCTACAATGCATAGATTTTTGAAACATATTGATGTACTTTTGCAGAATTTTTCATTGTAGGAGAAGATACAGAACTATTCAAGCAGATCACTATTCCAGTTATACAAACAAGGGACATGGCATTTGGATGGATTTCCATTAAAATATATTCTATTTCACATATTCCTTTCAGGTGGACAAGGAAGGGTTGTACCATCATTCTCTATTCGACGATGCTGTGCATTTGTTGTATCATTTCTCATGCCGTTACGGACATGCATTTTACTCCATCTCTTTTGTTTCTATTATAGCTTTCCTCTTCATAATCCATTTTCAGATTGCTCACGTTTTGAATTTACAATTACAAAATTTGAGTTGGGGCAACAGAGAAAAACAAAGATCCTACTGGGTTTTCTTTTTAAAAGAAGAGAAAGAAATACTAACTCTTTGATAAAAACAAGAAAAGTTGATAAATGTGGAATATATATTTCTCCTCTGGGATTTTCCAGGAATTTTCACATCAGCCAACTGTGTTCGGCACAAATGGGACTCTCTGAAATCATACAGTTCTATAATTAGGAAATAAATTTGATAAAAGAAAAATGCTTTATTTTCTGTGGCCTTAAGGGATCATTTGTTCAAATTATTCTTTCATTTCATATAAATGATCTTAGAATCTAAGCTGTAAGAAATCTAGGTAGTAAATGTCTGATACACACATCCTTTTTGTGGCATAACGATCTCAGTTCTTTCAAGCCTCATATGTCTGTTTTCAGAATATTTATTCTTAGATTGTCAGTACAAGTTATATTGTGTAGATTCTAAACAATGAAGAAAAAATGGTGGTGTCAGCCAACTCATTTTGGCATGGTTTGTTACATAGGAAAAGTTAACTAAGATAACTAGGAGGAGTGAATTTTGGGCTTACCTTTAAAATACTCATATCATACTGCAGGTCTACCCTGAGATTGTAAAATAGAAATTTCTAAAGATATTTCATTGTAAAGATATTTCTAAAGATATTTCATTTTGAGTATGATACTCTAAATATGTATTTAATTAATGTATATATATTAACTTCTATCAAAGCATATATTAAATATCAGTGAAGCTTGAATTTTTTAAGGAAAAATTAAATGTAGGAATTGCAGTATTTTATTCCCTTATCCCAGTGGGCCCTCATACACATCCTCTGGGTCATAGTCACAACATCAGGAGCAGTCTTTCTAAAACACTGAAATCTTTCACACAATCTACCTTAAAGCATTGCTTCATCTATCCTGAATGTGTGAACTTGTTTGTAAAATTAAATTCAGACCTTTGTTTATTATAATTGCTGATTATTGCAGAACCCTTCCAGTAATTACACATTGATATTTACCATTAACTTAACTAAACCTCTGTCATAAAACCACTGCTTCTGTTTCTAGCAAACATACTTAGAATATATACTGGTTTATGGAGTTTCTTTGCATTATGATTTTCTCTTTATTTTTAACTCTTTTGTTTGTATGTGTATCGGCATCTTTCTCTTCTTTAATTTAACAAAGGGGTGTTGACATTTTCAACAAAGAGGAAGAAGATGCCTTTTCAATGTCAGAGATTCTGAGCTACCTGACATCATGATCGTTGTACTCTTAGTATGTTGATTGAGAATCAACATCATGACAAAAAGCTACTCTAAAGTGAGCAATGCGTTTACACAAATTTATATTTGTTCTTAATGGAATCTTTGTGAATTTGCATATTAGTCACAGATAGACATGGAAGACATTTTTCAGCATACAGACAATTCTTCGTGTCCATATGGGGTCCTAGAAACCTTGTTTAACTTGGTAGTGAGAAGGCCACTCCTGTAACGAAAACAGGAGAGGCCAACCCTACCCCACCCTGTACCTATCATGTCATCCAGACAGTCTCTATGGCTGTCTGAGTCTTGGCATCCTCCTGGCACCGGCAAAGCAGGAGAACATTTTTTCTCCATTTCACATTTGGGGGCATTGAGATTGAGAGAAATTAAGTAGTTTGCTCAGGTTATAAGATAGATTAAAGGGAGCTGGAATTTGAACTCCAGACCTGTGCTGTCCAGTACAGAAGGCTTTAGCCACCTGTGGTTATTTAAATAGAAATGAATTAAAATTAAGTAAAGGTAAGTCAATTCCACATTCTTACAACAGTTCAAGTACCCAAAAACCATGTGTGGCTACCTTATTGCACAGCACAAATAAAAGCCTGAACAAGGCTGAACTAGCCTGACAACTGCAAAGACTGTACTCTACTGCTGGATTTCACTAATCCTCACTCATTCATCCATCACTTACTGAGAAGCTATCATGTACCAGACACCATATTCGATCCTGGGAGTTAATAAAATAGAACTATTTAAGTTATTAGGGTCTGGATTCAAGTGAGATAGTTTTATGTTGTGGTTGTTGCAATCGAGCAGGACTCCGCTGAAAGCAAGATCTATACAAGTTTTGGAATCCTCTCCTGCTTCTTCCCCACCCTCAGCACTTAGCAAGGTGCAATAGCAATCAAAGGTGAATGCAGAGCCCCTCATCATATCATTATAGTACACACATCATGTTTTACCCATCCGCTTTCTGAACCCTTTTCCTAAATTTAGTGAATTCCTCAGGCAGAACATTGCAGACAATCAGAGCTATGACCTCGCTCCAAATCTCAAGCTCTGAAACAGTGAGCTGGCAGAGAAACCCTAACATGGGCCCCAGGCTGGGGCATAGGCATGAAGTCTGAGCTAAGCAGTCGGATGCTTCTGCTCAGGACTTTGAAATGAGCAGTCGACACAAAGAAGCTGAAGCAGATTTAATTATTTCAATTACTGTAGCAGTAATGCCCACTTTTTACACAACTGTTGCTTTACTGGACTTTTGCTGGGTCATCTTGAGAGCAAATTTATTTTTGTCCACTCCTTTAAGCCTTCTTTATGGGGGTGATCCTAATCTTGCCATGAAATGAATGCCACTGACCTTACAGGTTTTTGTCAGCTAAAAGAATCCTGGGGCCACTAAGTTGCGAAGCAGTCTCAGTTTATTAATACACACTTTCATCTTCAGTCAAAAGTATACTTATCCTCCCAGTCCCTCTGTGAAGAGGATGGGTAGACATCTTCCTTTCGCCATCACAGCCTCCCCACTGCCTGGCTGCCATTTTTGCCTATTCTGGGGTTGGAACTTGAGGAAAAGGAAGAGGAATACAGTATTTCTCACTATCATGAACTGTTTTGGGATCTCTGGGTCAGGCCCATGTTTAAAAGCAGCCCTGTGGTGACATTTTTGAGGGTTCATTGGCAGCTCCCCTGTTGAATGCTCTGACTGCTACCTCTGGGCATAGTGGAATGTCCCAGAAGCCCTGCTAAGGTCCTCTTCGAGGGTCCGCCTGCCGCCCACCTTGGTCTGTCATGCCTTTGATGAGAACACCATGCCCAGTTCCAGATCACTTGTTTTGACATTCTTTACTGTGACATCTAGAAATTGCCTAAAGTGGTGCATTAGTAAAAACTGCTGGTAGGACTTCGTGTTCCCTCTACGGGCAGGGAGAGGGAAGCAGGCACGGTGGGGGCAGTTCAGCAGTATCCTCACAATGGTGCTATGGGTATTGCTCCCTCACCTTCGTGGGTTTCTGCTTTTATTTTGAACCCACTGTTTCTACCCTCCTGGTGAGTCTGTAAATTCTCCAAAATCTTTCTATTATTAATATTTTTTTTCCTTTAACCAGTCAGTCATTTTCTGTTTTGTACGGTTCGACCCCTAGTCTGATAAACTTTTCCATTTTGATCATGTTTGACTGTTGTCTATCTCCCTAGTTTCTATTTAGTTATTATATACCATCTATTTTTTATTTTGCAAAGTAATGCATGCACCATGTAAACATTCAACTCAGAAACAGGTGACACAGAATGAAGGAGTACCACCTAATTCCATGCACCCCAGATATCCATGTCCATCGGCACTTCCAAATTTAATTTTTGAATTAAACAATGTATTTACACATTATACACTTTATCTTATCCAACAGTTACCACCACTACAACCCTCACCTTAACTCTATTATTAATTTCTTCTGTTACCTGCCATTTTCTCTATGCTTATATAAGCAAATGCGAATTGTGTTACTTTCTTTCCACCCCTTCGTCTTTCCACAAAAGATAATTTCTTATCTTTTATTTTTGGCACGCAACAACAAATCACAATCTCACCTCATCAGTATTCAAAGCACTGCCTCATTTGTCTTTTTAGTCAGTGTTCCAAGTTACCTTAATTAATTTAACTAGCCCCTTCCCATGGAGGGAAATTAGGTTGTTTCCAAATATTTGTCATTACAAATAGCGCTCCATAAATAATCGCGCGCACGTGTCCTTTACAACGTGCAAATCTTAACTGTAGGGTAAGTTCCCAGAAGTAGGATTGCTGAGTCAAAGGGCATATGCACCGGGAGAGACGACTCAGTATCAGTTATTGTCAGATTGCCAGCAACTAATTGCCACTCCCAATTACCATCACCAGCAGTGTGTGAGTGCCTGTTCCCTGGCATCTTCATCAATGGAGGATGTGGTAAAGAACCACAGCATCCCAACCAGACCCTCCAGGCAGTCATCTCCCTATTTGAGCTGCAACTCTCTGCCCCGGGGCTGCTTGCTTATTGTGTATTGACTGAGTGGGGATGGACAGGGAAGAAGTGCCTGTGTGTTAATTCCCCACAAGCGGTGCTCAACCAATGATGGTCAGGGGGTGGTGGATAAATACCCCAGCTTTCTCACTCTTCGATTTTCACTCTGGAATGTGTCCAACACTGTCCCTCACTGTCCTCCAACTGCGCTCCTGTGACTCTGTGCAATTGGTTTGATAACACACCCTGCCATAACTCCTTTTCTTTCCGAAACTTCTTGCTCCCCTGCTGGTGTTTTCCGTGATCTTCTCCCAAATAAACTCCTTGCTCTAAAATATTTGTCTCAGTGCCTGTGTCTGGGGGGAACTAACAGCCTGTCACTAAAACTCTTGGCATTTTATGAGGGCTATCTCAGTGTAATTTGAATTTGCACTTCTTTTATCAAAGAAGTTGAGTATATTTTTGTACGTCTGAGCCATTTTTATATCTATTTCTGTGAACTGATGGTCGTATCTTTTGTCAATTCCTCTCTTAAATTTCTATAAAAACCTCTGTATTAGGAAGATTAGCTCTTTATGAGGTGGATTTTTTTTCCACTTTGTTCTTTGTCTTTATGGTGTCTTTATCGTTCTTTGTTTTCATCTCTCTTTTTGGTCATTCAGAATTTTCATTTTTATGTAGACAAATTCATCTTTTGTGTTTTCCGTACTCTGAGTCATAGAAATGCTTTGCTCCATACCAGGTTATAGAAGAATTCCGTGTTTTTTAATGACATTTTTATTTTTTAATTTTTAGATTTATATCTTTAATCCACTTACAACTTTTCCTACTAGATGTTCATCAACTTCTACCTCCATTGTGTGTTTTCTGCTCTGATCTGACC